TGAGAATCCAATAAATACCTTTTTTAATACATTGCCTTCAAGGTGGAAGTGATTAAATTTACTAAAATGCTTGTTGTTCGATCAGCATGCAAAAGGAATCAGATACTTCACTTATAAGGTATTTATTGCACTATTGTTCGACACTTGGCCTTTGAACATTTAGAGCTTTGACAATAATTGATTTTTTAATACATGTGTATGCCATAATTTTGGTGTAATTTAAAATATGAATATCTGAGTAACGACTTGTCCCAGACAAAAGAAATAAAATAGGCTTCATGTTGAATAATAAAATATTTATCTATCAAAATTCGAAACAGATATTTAAAAAAAGGGATGGAGGTTTTATAAATAATCTCATAAAATTTCACAAATGTTCAATATGCATTCGACCTGTGAAATGATACGCATCAAGTCGGTGATCCAGCTCCTGACAAACACGCTGTAGCATGTCATGCGTAACATTCTCTACGCATAATACGAACCCCTTGTATGGTAATCAATCCCTATAAATTGTACCTCTCCAATTTCCTTACGACCAGGGTTTAGCACTTTATTCAAGCTAAAATTATAAAATTTATTTGTTGTTTATTTTCAGAGTCTCGCCCCACGCTCACAAAATTGTGTGTGTGTGTGTGGATCCAGTTAACGAAAGTCGGTACTCCAGCTCCTGCTAAACACGCTGTAACATGTCATGCGTAACATTCTCCAGTGCCTCAGTGATTCTCCGCTTAAGTCCCTCTAGGCTAGTAGGAAGAGCGGTATATAGACCTTTCCTTTCACATAATCTCATAGATAAAAATGGTGAACGTGTCGGCCATTTCGACAGCACTGTCATCATCACTGGCAAGTTTGATCCATCATCCTAGTAGATTGTTATTGAGAAAAATCTTATTATCAATAATATTAATTATTTTAAACGTTTTTTTAGATTTGAGTTATTTGAGCGAGAATTTTTAAACGTTAAACAGTATTTATTTTGTCTACCACTCATGCAACGGGTTACAAAAGTTTAGCAAAGAAAAGAGGACTGACAGAGGATTTGAATGAAGAGTTTTTTAGGGGGATAATCAAGGCATCTGAGACGTCGATTGCTTTTACATTTGAATAGTTGGAGAAATAGCTATCTGTGAAACAAGGAAAATTGGAGGGAGTTCCACAGGCGAGAAGTTAGTAAATATGAATATATTGGATAGAATATATATATACATTTAACATTTTCGATATATATTATGCAGCGAGATGCCAGCCTGGTTGAACGCTTAAACAATGAATTCTGGCAACCAGCGAATGCACTGAACGTACATATTGCCGTGAAAGTATATTTTTAAAAAAGAAAGGGAGGCGATGTTTTTTTGTGAGAGAGATTGACTATATTTTTTTACAAGATGATTAAATTTGGGCGTGGGACAAATTTTAGATTATATATTTGAAATCAAGCACTTATAATTTCTTTCCTTTCCACTGTAGAAAAAGTTGCTCCTTTTTGTTTCTGTTTTACTCATATAGTAGCTGTTTGAATTTTGTGTTATGAGAAAGACTTGTTAGCCGTGATTAAATCCTCGGCTAGTCATTTATTGGATTTTCAAAAGTATTCAATTTTCGGTGGAGAAAAAAAAAGGGCAAAATATTTGTCATCAATGCCAGATATATACATAGATATAAATTATATACACACTTTGCTGTTGAGCAGATTTTACTATGTTGCTGTCAGTATGCATTGTTCGTAAATCTCGTTCTTAATAGAAGGATAAAGACCTTAACCGTTGTCGTGATAGATGTATTTCACTAAATACCGTAATTCATCATGTATAATACGCCCTCATCCATAATACGCACCCCTAAAATTGTGCTGAAGGTGTGGAAAAATGCTTCTACTCACGCATAATACGCACCCTTTGTTTGGTAATCAAACCCTATAAATTGTACCTCTCCAATTTCATTACGGTCAGCGTTTCCTACTCTTATTCAACCTGTAATTGAAGATATTTTTCAAATTTTCGGATTATCACGATTCTAAAAGGAAACGGAAATACCTATATCGTGCCTACTGCGCAGACTCATTAACCTGTTTTTGTTCGATAAAATGTGCAATCTACCAGATTGTATGTAGTTTCTCACAAAAAATAGTTTTGAACATAAAATAATATTATTTTAATTTAGTTTTGTGATATTTCTTATTTTATTTTACATTTGTAAGTATTGTTAGGTACATATGATTGTATCTGACATACTTATAGGGTCGCAATCGCTGAATGTTAGTGACAAATTGTCGTATGTTTGTGGTTTGTAGTCATTTCGCAACTGAAATCGACCTATGAAACGGCAATTTAGAGATTTTTTTCTAGCAGTGCATAATACGCACCCATAATTTTGCTTATTATTTTTTTAGAAAAAAAATGCGTATTATATATAGGGAATTGTGGTATGTCAAAATAGGCCACCATGATTAAAGGTCAGCGTTTACTACATAGCGTAATTCATTGATCTCCCCACCATAAAGAACTCCCGTCCTGGATATGATGACAAACTACATCCAGCAGCAAGAGGTTTTGTAGAGCGTGGAACCAGCTCTTAATCGCTCTTGTTCAAAGGTCCACCTTGACACGGGGTCGTAGCACCTGTTAGGGTCCCAGCAAGAGTCAAAGCACTATGAAGGTATGCAAATGAATTTTTGAAGTAAAAGTGCCAACAATAAATTATTGAAAAATATTGTGTATATATTACCAGCAATTAAAAATGTTGTCGGCATTACATAACTCATTGAGGTTGATATACAGTAAAACAAAACAAAATAAACTAAACTATATATATATATATATATATATATATATATATATATATATATATATATATATATATATATATATATATATGGTTTGGTTTATATATATTAACAGCAATACATTAAAAAATTTTACCAGCAATACATTTTTGAAAAAGATGATGAAGATATGTGGAGGTAAATAATGATTAATCCTCGGCTTAAACAGATTAAGATTGTGGTTATCAAGAAAGCATAATCTCTGGAGTCTTCTACAAAGTAGCAGTTCTTGAGAAAAAAGCTGTTCCTAATGTGATATGAAAGGAATGAGAATGGTTTGTCCCATTCTACGTTGCATGGAGAGTCTTAGCTGTGAAGGTCTGAACTGGTAGAACTAAAGAATAAAGCTCGTCAGGACATTTGTCATAGCAACAGAGATCTATTTGTGACGGGAAAAAGGGTTGTAAGGTGGGAAAACAATTCATCAGCCACAAGATTGCGTAGATGCTTTTTAGCTCAAATCTGGAGTGTGTAGATTTATGAGTTCCAGCCTAGATATGACAGCAGTACTCCATCTTCGATCTGATATGGCTCTTGTAAAGGAAAATCATGATATTCATTCACTGGCATGAAAGTGCAAGCAGTATTCTCTTTGTGTGCGAAGGATGGATAGATTAAATTCAAAATAATATTTACCGAATGTGATTTTTGGTCAGTCTTCAATTTTTCATGGGTAATTTCGTTATGCTAATTTAAATTCCAAAAAAATATATACATAAAAAGAAATATTAAAGATTTATTTGTCGGTAATAATTGACACATTAGGGTGGTCCGGAAAGTTCATGCCGATTTTTTAGTTGTTCATATCCAAACACGTTAAACCACGAAATATATAATCGGCTTACATTTCCGATTAGAGCACATTTCAAACTCTCTATTTACATTATTCAGACTATTGACCACATCTTCGTCGCCATATTTATTACAACGTTTCGGCCGTTGTACGCTCCACCTTTCTTCAGGTGTTTGAAATGTCGAACTTAACCCTTTATTTCGCTCACTGGGGTACTCTGTTCTAGTTCCACGTGCCATGCTTAATAGATGTCAGTTATCAGTTATCTCCTGTGAATTTCCCTCTGAAAGTTCTCCAATGCCTTAATCTCAAGAACACATGGCACAGTGGGAAAAGGCGTTGGTTAGATCCAGTGACAGGACCCAAAGAGTGTAATAGCCGGTCCTCGCAAAATAATCTCAATGGTAAAAATTGTAATTCTTTGGATGGCATAAAAACAGCCTTAATGAGTTCTTTGCTGAGAAACCAGCAAATTTCTGGGGAGATGGAATCTTTAAGTTGAAGAAAAAAGGGAGAAAGATTGTGCAACAAAATGGTTCATATTTAGCTGAATAAATATTCAACGGCATAATTTTGTTTTCGGTTTTTAATTTCCACTATTTACATTATTCGGACTATTGTCATCATCTTTGTTGCCATATTTATTATAACGTTTCGGCCGTTGTACGCTCCGGCCTTCTTCAGGATTTTGAAATGTCGAATCGAACCCTTTATTTCGTTCACTGGTGTAGACTGTTTTAGTTCCACGTGTCATGATTAACGGATGTCAGTTATCAATTATCTCCTGCCTAATTCCCTTTTCCAAGTTCACCACTGTTTTAACCGGGTATTGAACTCACACTCTTTGGGTCCTGTCACTGGATCTAACCAACGCCTTTATCCACTGTGCTATGTGTCCTTGAGGGTTCAGTTCGATATTTCAACCACATGAGGAAGGCCGGAGCGTACAACAGCCGAAACGTTGTAATAAATATGGCGACAAAGATGATGACAATAGTCCGAATAATGTAAATAGTGTACATAATACCTCATCTCAGAAATATAGACAGTTTAATTTCCCTTAAAAATCAGCAAGAACTTTCAGCGCAACTGAATATATATTTTGATTGGTCCATTTTTTATGGCTTACCAACCTTTTGCAAGTAATTTAAAACCAAAAGTTTATTTTAAACCAGAAAGCATTTTTGAGATAATAGTGGTTTAGTAATATATGTCTTACTAATTAACCCATAGGTGGGGGTAAAGATGCGTATTTATCCATTTCCCAAACGTATTTGCGCCTAAGTGCATAAGTGCATATAACAAACCCAGCTGGATTTGCAAATTGGCTCTCCGATTAACACTTGTAAGGTACCATATGATGACACCACCCGCACACACAAGCTTGCATCACCTAATATTTTCAAGCGGTCTCCCAGCTAGGTACTAACTAGGTTCAGCTTTGCTTAACTTCGGTGATCGTAGGGAACGGGTTTTTCAAAATGATATGGCGGGTTTCATAGGGATTCAAAAATGGCTTATTAGGAGTACATGCTGGCAGTCAGTATACGAGGGTCGCTCAAAAAGTTCTAAGCCTCACCCCAAAATAAGTGCTATAGCTGAACATTTTTTTTGCTGGCTACAAACTATCACTTCTTATAAAAATAGAGCAACTAATTGAGATTTTTATCCTAATTTCGGTATAGTTGAAACCTATACAGAGGTAAGAGGTTTGCGAGAAATCTAAAAATGGACAAAACTGAAGCCCGAGCAGTTATAAAATATTCTGTAAAAGAAAGGTATGACACCAAAGGAAATCCATGAGGACATGATACAGACATTTGCTGAGGTAACCCCTTCCTATGCAACTGTGAAGAAGTGGGCTGTGGAATTTAAGCAGGCAGGGACAGTACAAAAGTTGACCCTTGGTCAGGTCGGCCAAAAATCTCAACCACTGATAAACAAGTTGATGCCATTCATCGTTTGGTTTTTGATGACAGACGTCTGACTGCCCAGCAGATGATTAAATCCATAGGTGTTAGTTCTGCTTCTGTCCATAAGATTTTAAGTGACATCTTGGGGATCAGCAAGATGTGTCTAAGATGGTTCCCAAGAATGCTTACACTAGAGCAGAAGCTGAACAGGGTTGACATTTCCAGGACACTTCTGACTCTCTTCCAGGTTGACCCTAAGAACTTCCACCACATATTAGTAACTCAAAGATTTGAAGCAAACAGTGGAAATACTCTGATTCTCCACTCACGAAGAAATATAAGCAGGCATTGTCTGTTGGCGAGGTGATGGCTTCTGTTTTCTTTGGATTCTGAAGGTATAATTATGATAGACTACCTCGAAAAGGGAAAATCTATTAATGGAGAGTACTCAGCATCAGAACTAAGACAACTGAAGAAATCAATCAAGTCGAAACGCAGAAGGAAGCTGGGGCAGGTGTGCTCTTGCTGCAGGATAAACGCTCGTTTACACTGCTCAAGTTGCAGCAAATGAAGCAGCCAATTGTGGCTTTCAATACTTACCACATCCCCCTTACTCACCAAACTTAGTTCCATCTGAACTCTCCATGTTTTCTAAACTCAAATCCCACCTGCGTGGTTGCCATTTTAGGGAAAATGATAAGATCATATGCGCTATGGAGTTTTTGGACGATCAGGAAGCCACATCCTTTTGTGATGGGAATGCAATGCTGAAACATCGTTAAACCAAGTACGTTGATGTCAAGAGGGACTATATTGAAAACTAGTGAAAAACTGTCTTTTTTCTCCAACTTCTTCAGGGCAAGGGCTAGAATTTTCTTAACCACACTCGCATGATGTTTTGAAAAAAAAAACTTCACCGGATTTGATATGTTCAGTCATAGTGTATCCAAGAGCCTAACAACACACGGATTTATTCACTGCTTTCTCACTGGCGACCGTCTTAAGCAAAGGGAGAGTGTCTATTCACAAATGCGCAGTTAGGTCCCCTCTAGCAGCTGGATAAATTAAATCAAGGCTACGCAATGCTCAATCGCTTTTCAAAATAAGCTTGATATAATTCGTACACACAGAGACACACACTCAAATATATATATATATATATATATGTATATATATATATATATACACAAATATTATATATACATACATATATATGTGTGCGAGTGTGTGTGTCTGTGCGTCTGTGTGTCTGTGCGTGTTAATTGTTTAAAAACTCCCTGATTTTATTCAAACTTAACGTCAAAACATTCACTTTAATGATAATATAAGAATACAGTCCATATTTAAAATGCTGCAACTTGTGCTCTAATTCAAAGATTAAAACGCTGATGAGACGGTGTGGACGAGATTAAGGTCAACGTTAAAGCCGTTAATGACAATTCAGAAAGAAAAAGTCAGATTGTTTTGAGAAAACATTGGCTTAAGTTTCCAAAGTGTCAACTGAAAAACTTTTAAGCTGAACAGGTCGACATTTCTTTCGGTAGTTTTATATTTTTAGGATTAAATTACGTGAACTTTTAGGGTTTTCGTTTGTATATATCCTTCATACTTATTTTATATCTATATTAGTATATCTTTCGTTATATCTAATATTAGACAATGGGGTATAATACCGTATATTACATTTGAATAGTATATAATGGAGAACATATAATTAATACTGTATATAATATTTATATAGATAATTAATACATATAAATATATACATACAGGGTGTGATTGGTAAATTGTCACCATTTCGTATTTTTAATTTCGCGCATGCGCGTTATCTGTTGTTGATTTTCTCAACTACAAAATATAGCAGGGTCAGCTGTGCACCATCTGTGAGAAAAAAAAAGCACGATGACGCAATTCACTTCGCCAGAAGCACCAACACGAATATTTCAGAGTGTTTGGTTGTCAATCTGAGGACAGTGCAGAGAATTCGGAAAGAGTTTGATGAGTCTAATGGTGATTACGAATGTGTTTGGAATGATCACTAGTGATGGTGACGTTATGCCTCCATTCATCTTCCGACAGGGCCTCAGACTCAGCACAGAAACCTACATCAAGTGTCTTGACTGCTACCCTGGGCTAAGAGGGTGGCTGCTGGTAACAGGACTCTGCAAGGTGCCACACAAGAAGAAGAACCCAGTCATGGTTGTCAGACAATTTTTGCGACCACATCACCTCTTTACATCTGGTTACCTAAATCCCAAGACTGCACCTCCTGTGTAGGGCGCAGTTAAGCGAGACACCTACTCTTTGTAACACTAAATAATAACTGAAGGCAAGGATTATGATACCAATCATCAACTTAAATAAGGATACCGTGCAGAAGAGTTGTAGTAGATTCCGAAGTCGTTTGGAGGCCGTGGTTGAAGCCAATAGCGATTTTATTGAATAAATATACTCTTTAGTATTTAGAGTTATTCATGTGTAAAATAAGATATCAGTGTTATTTTCATTTTTGCGTAATTAAACGACAATTTATTCATCGCACCCTGTATATAAATAATTAATACATATATATATATATATATATATATATATATATATATATATATAAAATTAATACCTTATAGTGTACGTTCTACAACTGAGTATCTTCATGACCCGTCAGGAAATAACTAATCATGGCTCTCCGCATCTTTCGATGGCTCTTAGCAGGTTTTTTTTGGGTTGCTAAAACCTAAACGTGCCGCTATCCATTCACAAAAGTTCGTCAGATAAGTGGCTCGTTGCCTTCATTAGACATCGAAGATCTATCTATCTATCTATCTATCTATCTATCTATCTATCTATCTATCTATCTATGTTTCCTCTTTTCTGACTATCACAGTCTGTTATTGATAAAACCACCAGCTATAGAGAAGTAATGTACCATCCAATCTCGGAGTTCACGATGAGTGAATTGAATCTACACTTGTAGCTCCTTCACTTCACCTGAATAACGGCGGTAATCCTTGTACGGAGTTTCTAAGGTTCTCGATTTGACAGTAGGATTGCAGAATAAGGTTACATTTGAAGAATCATTAAGAATTTTCATTTTTGGAAACCAATTGTAATTTACGAATGCATCACCCTAGCTAATAATAATACGTGGCAGATAAGAATAGATTTGAACTACACTAAGATGCTTTAGTTTTTTTTTTTTTTTTTTTTTTTTGTTTTTTTTTGTTTTTTTCACAGCAGTGTAGCGTACGCAGTGGTTTTAAAAAATGCTTTTTTCTCCGTGACAACGAAAGGCCCCCCCATACAGCAAGAAAATAAAAACAAAAAAAAATAACGTAGGAACTCGGCTGGCTTGATCTACCTCATCAGCGATATTTACCAGACATTGCAACAAACAATTCCCACGTGTTTTGAAACCTGTAAAACGTTTTCATATACTGGTGTGGGGGAGTTTTTCTCATGCAACCAAGATACAAGAGTTCGTCAAAAACCTTATCACATCAAAATCTGCGGAATTTTACACAAGAGCTCTCTGTCGAGAACACTGTTAACATGCCGTTGCAAATAATGTGGAATATATAATTAATTGATTAAGATGTCATTGCACTTTACTTCTGTGAAAAGAAAAGTTGCTAAAATAAAACAGAAATTATTTTTCACTTAGAGAAATAGTAAATAAATACAACTTATGTTGTGATGAAGGAAGATCTTCACCAATAAAGGAAGAGTTCTTCAGATCAGGAAAATTGCAGGATTTGTGTGTAAAACTGGGAAGACGAAACTGTTCAGCTGTTTATACGTTCACGAAGTCACAAGTCGCCATGACCGAGGGTATGAGGGTATATGCTAACTTTCTCTAGATGCTCTATTGCTCTTATGGCTCTAGTGATCATACCCGTCTAATTGGTTACAGGACTCAAGATTTGATTATGTATTTAGCAATTGGAAATTTTGTTTTTTTAGATTTTTGACTTAGCGGGCATTTTATTGAACGGTTTTCCTTCTCGAAACCAGTAGCGTACGGCTTTCATTTCAAATACACAAATGCACTTTAGATGTTGAATTTTATATACAATAACAACAATCAATCTATTCACGCACAAATCCGACGCTTCAGGCAGAAGCTTTTCAGAATACAGAGCAGAACTACGTAATAAAACTCCATACTAATCTCAACACTGATTTATGGTGTGTAATAATTTCATCGTCAGCTGTAGTGTTACTCGGTGGCACTTCAGTCTGGAAATCATTGTCAAGAGAACAAACACTTACGCAATAATCAATAACACCCTGTTTAATAAATCCTTCTTTTGTTCAGCTTCTTGTTATTTCTTCTCGTCTTTTACTCCCACTACCACTCTTACTATCTCCTCTTTTTCCTTTTTCGCAATAACTTCTCTAACTCGAGTTCTGTACGAATCTTCGAATAATGAATATCTTGAAGACGGCTTGGCCAGCCTTGATCTAAAACGGTAGAGAATCTAGGAGGCCATTACTCTGACAGGCCCTATCTGCTAAAAAGACGCATTCAGAGTTAAATTTTTTGAGTGAAATTTTGTATCTTCAAACAAACTATTGGGTTGG